TTCAATGTTCTTTGTATTTCTCATTAACAAACAAAAGCTGAATGTTCCCTTTTTAAGGCAAGTGAATTTCACTTAGTTTGAATTTCTTTTACATACTCTTATGCAGTTTTTTGTACATACTCTTACGAGCTACGCACCTATTTATCTCTTCTAAAATTCCTTTAGTTGATGTTCCCCATCAAATACAGAAATGAACATTTTCTCTTACTCAGCACAGATTATGTATGCAACATTTGTAGTTATTTGTTTTTAAAACTTTATCATGAATTTTTATTCCAAATCTGGCTTTGGTGTAAAACTATACTAGCAGTCAACCTAAGCTGGGAAAACTAGATATGCTAAGAAAGCATGTGCAACCACTGAAGAATGTATCCTGTGTAGCAGTTGTAATTTTGAAATTGCACAATGAAATATCAATATTGTTATGATAAAAAGACATCAGTAAAGGAAGCCTGGGGAAAGAACATCCCTATATTTTTATTTTAAAATGTAACAGTATATTTGTCAATCATTTGCTAACTAATAAGAACAGACCTTTTGGGCAGTTTTGGGTGCTTGATGATATGTGCCATTAGCAGATTTTGTATATCATATGAGGAGTTATCTTAATATTTATCACACCTCTAGTTACTTTTATGGCATCATAAACAGTTCACATCGCTATTAAAGAACTTTCAAAAGATTTTCAACCAGCATATCATTATTAACTCAGGAACCACTTTCTACTGCAGCACTGTCATGCGATAAAATTAGAACTAATTTTACAACACTCCAAAGTTCTTCAGAAATAATAATTATTAATCAAGCCCTTATTAGAAAGTTCAAGTCATATTGCAGCATAGTTAACAAGTGTCTTTCCACCCTTACTTCTGAATAATCATTTTTTAAACCACACTTTTGATTTATCTGGAATGGCGGAATTTATTCATTTACTATGCAGTAACCTCGCCATCCTTTTCTCACATAAAAATTTATTAGAGATAACGAGCACTGAATCTATTGAAAAAATGCATTTGACCTTGCTATATTTAAGTGGTCTTCTTTCCATTATTTTTGAAGCAAGCTTAATCATAAAGGTTCTGCATTGAGTTCTGATTTCTCTTTTCTTTAGATCAGACACTCCACTTTAAGTTAAACTCACAATGGCAACAATACCCATATCTATATCTTTAACATTACAAGAAATGGTTTGATCCAGAATATTTATTTTTATCAATTTTTCAGGAGCTTTTGCCTCTCGCAGTAAATCTCTTAGGACAAATTTTGAGAGAAGCTGATCCAGCATACTATGGAAAGCTTTACACAGAAAGGGGTACGTACGATAATCTGTCTAAAATGGTTTTAGAAATGGAAGTATAATGCCTGCAAGAGGTAAAAAAAAATATTTTTGAAAAAAGAAGCTTATCTTTAATAGCTGTTCTCAGTCTTTCGACTGAAACAATCTTTGACAGTTTGGATCATTCTATATATTTTTTCACATGAGGAAAATACCAATAGCTCTCTCAGCAACAAGTATGTTTTCACAATATTGTCACGGAAAAGTTGTACAGTTAGTGATGGCAATATAATCTGCTTGCCTAGCAGGATTGTCTTTAAACACTCTATGCATGTCTTTAAACAATGCACTTGAATTCCAGTCACTAGCTCTATGCCCAGCTCTAAAGGCACCCTGAACAACAATGCAACCCACAGGACCCAGTATCTATATAACAGTCATCATTATTTGCTACATTTTTTTTTCCCAAACCTCTGAGGAATTCAGGATTGATATTTTGAGAAATTTCTTTTTAACTAGTTATCAGGGTCCCTAAAAAACTTTTCAAAGTGTCATTAGCAGTAGCATGCCACAAAAAAAAAAAAAAAAAAAAAAAAAAAAAAAAAACCGATGTGAGGCACCTTGTCCTCACTCCATTTCTCAAACTGTCAGAAAATCTAACAAAAAGGTCTATTTGACCTTTCTGGAAAATTCTATTTAAAGCTTCACTGAATATTAGAATTAAGTGTTCTTAAGATCAGAAATGAGAATCATATTGAAGTATGGAGCTAAACCAAATGACACTAAACATGACATTTTTGTATATCTCTGGTCATAGCTTTATTGCTGTCATCAGACATTTTCTGGAACAGAAGGGCAGTATCAAACACATAAAAAATGTAAACAAACAACTTTCATAAACCACAGTAATTCTACAGCTAACACTGTGCTTATTTAGGAAAGAGTTTTAATTTGATTATTCAGCAACTGGTGGTAGAGATTGTTGTGCTTCAGAACAACTTTTTTCTGTAAAGAAAATTTAAAAAAAATTTTTTAAGTTCATCTTCATAGAAATATTTCTTATGCTTTACATTGTTTAAGTGCCTTGTGGTTACTTTCCTTCCCATGTTACTAAGCATGATATATCTTTTTTTTTTTTTTTTTTTTCAAAATGAGCATCTTGCCATGTTAGGAGCTCCTTCAAAATGTTGCAAGCGTGGACCCCACTGACGACTGAAATTAGAATGTGCCCAATTTCGATTAAAAATGTCTTTTTTGCAGACATTTTACAGCTAAAGGGAAGAAAGAAATCTATCTAAAAGTATTTTTAAATAAACTGAAGTATTTTATATTAATTTAGCGGTATAAGTAAGTAAAAAAAAGCGTGTGTGCTAAATTTAGCGAGACTACATCATTATACTGATAGAAGTAGTTTTGCGAGTATGGCAGAGACAACTGCCTGAAAGTACTGTTAATAATAAATAAATTTAGAAGGAAGAAGCCACATCAAATGATATGAATAACATTTAAATAAAGTTATGTAATGAAAAAATGAAAAAGATTAAAAGCTGGGTTATAATAATAAAGAATATTTTGGCAAATATACATATATTAAATGGTTAGCCTAGACAACTTATTATTTTATTACTATTACTGCAAAATGAGAAATAAGGCATTTATTAAAAAAAAAAAAAAGGTATAAAAGATTTTGTTTTGTATAGGAATGGTGTAACAGTATATTTGTCAATCATTTGCTAACTAATAAGAACAGACCTTTTGGGCAGTTTTGGGTGCTTGATGATATGTGCCATTAGCAGATTTTGTATATCATATGAGGAGTTATCTTAATATTTATCACACCTCTAGTTACTTTTATGTCATCATAAACAGTTCACATCGCTATTAAAGAACTTTCAAAAGATTTTCAACCAGCATATCATTATTAACTCAGGAACCACTTTCTACTGCAGCACTGTCATGTGATAAAATTAGAACTAATTTTACAACACTCCAAAGTTCTTCAGAAATAATAATTATTAATCAAGCCCTTATTAGAAAGTTCAAGTCATATTGCAGCATAGTTAACAAGTGTCTTTCCACTCTTACTTCTGAATAATCATTTTTTAAACCACACTTTTGATTTATCTGGAATGGCGGAATTTATTCATTTACTATGCAGTAACCTCGCCATCCTTTTCTCACATAAAAATTTATTAGAGATAATCAAAAGTTTCAAGGGGAAGGATTGATTACTTACTTTTACTATAAATAACAAACAAAGGACGGGGGGACAAACATTATTACATTTACTGCATTTGTTTCTGAATTTGGACATGAGTTCTGCCACTGTTTATTACTTAAAAATAAAATTTTGAATGAAGAACTCAAACAATGAAAAATCAAGTTCAGAACAAAAAATATTTTGGCATTTTAAAAAATAATTAATTAAATTTGAAAATAAATAAATAAAATAAAAAATACAAAAAGTAAAAAATAAAATAAAAAATTACACATCTTGCATAATTTCAAAGTTTAATAATCATAATATAGCTGCTAATGATGTTGAAAAGCATAACAGTTCAATTTGATTTTTTTTAAATAATGCACAATAATATGATTAAAAAAGCATCAATAGATTTCTTTTAACTTTAAAAATGCATTGCATAAATTCTTGCCATTTTAAGAAGCAAATACTATAGAATGTTAAGTAAACATACGTTTAAAAAAAATATTTAATAATCTAAAAATTATTCAATAATGTGCAAAAGATCACGAATTTTCACTTACCAGGGTTTTTAATTTAAAATGACAACAGAAAAACAAGCTCTATAAACAAAGAGACAGAATTTTTTTTTCAACATGAACAGATTTCTCATTTTTCACAAAAACATGTGAATCACACTTTCTGGATTTTACAGGTTACAAGAAACCAAAGATGCTGGAAACTTCCTCAGCTTTTCCAAAAGGCAATCTGTTTGGAGCTGCAAATTTGGCTTTACGACAGCTGACAAAATGACACTCGATACATCATTTACCAAGAAAGTGATCCACTTCAAGCGCCAGTGCAAAAATACTTCTTTAGGGATTGTTGTATGAAATTCCCTGATTTCTCCAGATTTGGGCTAAAATATTTAAAGTCCTTGACTTTTTTGCTCAATTTTCGAATTCCTAGATTTTTCCTGGCTTGCCAGGTAGTTTCCCAGGTCCTTCTTTGAAGCCTGCAGCCACGTATGATTTCCATATATTTACAACAAACTAAAGGGCTTTTTCTAAAATCGGAAGCTACTTCACCCAATCTTCCTAAATGAATAACACTCCTGCAGCAAGTTTATAATAATACACAAATTTCATCAATTCCTTTAGAATCACAATTCAATAACTGTCAGGAAAAAAAGCTTTGAATGAAAGGGAGATGAAGAATGACCAGAAAGCATGTGAGACATACAAAATTTTGAAGATGTAGAAGGGAATTTTTATTACAATGCACATTTAATGCTGTCAACCAAAAGCGTCTGAAAAAATAATTTTTGCTGTAACTGCATTTTATATTTTGTACAATATTCAATGCACTGATGACTATTTTAAATACAATATAGAATAGAGCATTATTTGAGCATCTATAAACACCACTTTAAACATGGTAATTAACATTAAAAATATTACATTTTAAACTGTTTTTAAGCAGACGTTCTATTTAAAAATTTACACAATATAAAAACATTTATAAAATGTACAATATTCTTACTGAAAAATGAGATTTAGCTTCATCTGGCAATGATATACTATATATAATTAACACAACATTAAAATTATTTGTGATGTTTAACTGTCGTACATTACTGCTATTCTGTACACCAACATAAAATCTTGTGCAATTTTTATTGTAATCGAGGAACCTGGAAAAAGAAGAAAAAAGATAGCTCCAATTAACTAAGAGGAAACATAAATATTTATGCATATAATCTGAAACCAACAAAAAGGATATTTTCACTAAATTAAAAGGAGCTGAATAATAGCATTCCTTTATTGCAAATACTTAAAAATTATAAAACTGATAAAAAGAGGAAAAAAATTACCACATTTAGGAAATATTTTAAATTTAAAGGACTTTATAAAGTATTCTTTTATGCAGTGAGACAATAATTTTTAAAATATAGAATAACAATATTTTCAACAAATTATAAAGCAGCTATTAACTCAGTTAACATCAAGAACACCTAATAAAACTCACTGCTGAACATTACCTAGCAGAATAAAAATGTTTAATAAATTTTATAAATATTAAATCACAAACTCTGTTAAGGAGTTTCTTCTTAAAGAGAGTTTTATTTTACTTTTACTTAAGCATTAAAATTTTAAGACATATCTTTTTTAAGTTAAAAAAAAAAAAAAAAAAACTTACCCTCGTATTAAATTAACTTGATATGGTATTTGTAGCTTATACTGATTATTTTTTGATTTTATGACTATTTTACCGCAGCACTGCTTAGGGTGCAGAGCTCTTGCAGCTAAAAAGTAAATTTAAGCCAAGTTAATCACAATATACAGAACCTTCTAATATAATATTACAGGACAAGACTTCATTGAAATTTTTATTGAATCTTACTGATACAGTTAAAACACTTTCCTGGTAATGAATAAAGAAAAATTAAAATTCATTACAAGCATATTTAAAAATTATTTTAAAAGAACAAATGCCTGTTTAAAACACACTAAGCTGTCTGAGTTTTTACATTAGACTTACAACTTTCTCTTTTTAGACAGAATAAATATTACATTTTGAACACTATTACAATGAATTTACTTTCATACAAAGATTCAAAATATATTTTTAAAATCCTGAATGAAATTTTTTTATTTAAAAAATTGATATTTCATTTAAAATAATGAATATTTCACAGCTTATTTTTATAACATAATAAATACATATTTGGATTATTATAATTGCTAAAACACAAAAGAAGTACTTACGAGTAAAAGTAACAGTAGCTACTTGAGTACTGAAAACAGTATCTGGTGGTACTTTAACAGGTATAAATTTTACATCTACTGCTTCATTTACTGGAGTGGCAATAACGTTCTACATGGAAATACAGTTGAAAAGTAAAATTTACTCAAAACCAGAAAGATCTCAAAAGAACGATATAATAAATCAATTTGAAATACAATCAAGAGTTTCTGAAAAACTAAGATTTTCTTTACGTACCACAATATGAACATGTTTTTGCCCTGAATTGAGTAATGATAAAGTTAAAACTTTTGGCTCATCATGACTTCTAAGCACACCAAAATCAAGCACCTCAGTTGGCGAATAAATACCAGGAGCTATATGAATGATTCCATTGAAACAATGTAACTATTATTAGTTATACACTAAAAAGAACTACTCACATTTTTAAATTAAAAAAGCAAATATGTTGCAAGTATCAAGCTGCATTTTGTTTACATTCATTTGCATATCTATTTGGTTAAACTTTTCTCTAAACAATATTGTACTGATCTGAATACAGGGCAATCTCTTTAAAATGCCCTTCTGAATAGCATATCTGTCTCATGCATGCAGTCAAAATTTCTATTACTATAATTTATCATTTGTTCTTTCCTTGTTCTTAAAAAACACCTTCAAATATACTAGGTTAATTTTATGTATAAAGCTGACTTTGGAAGAATACAGCATATTTGTCTATTTTTTGTAGCTTTAAAAGATGTTAATAAATTTATTAAAAATTAAATATACAAAATGATAGAGGTGAAATGTTCAAAAATACCTGAAGTGACATCCACTTCAACAGGAAGCAATAAATAGTCTTGTCCAGAACTATTTGTTCGAATACGAATAAATGCAGTATGATTTTTTTCAATTCTAGCTATAAAATTTGCTTTAATAACAGGCTTTGTCTCATATGGTGGAATTTCCTGTAATAAACAATAATCATATCTTTTAAAACAAAAATTAAGAAGTTTTTAGGTTAAAGTAAATAGTATGCATTTTATTTGATATCTACTTAGTAAAGTAAAAAAAAAAAAAAAAAAAAAATTCGACTTTAGAAACTGTGTTACTAGTCACAGGAAAGAAAACAAAAATCTCAAAGATAGCAAAAACATATCTCATGATTTAGCCAACATATCTCATTACATATTTTAAATATTGAACATTTCCCATCCCCTATTTAACTAAAAAAATATTTAGAAATTGCAAGGCTATACAAATATTACAGTTATTCAGCTGAGTGTATAATTCTGTCACACATTTCAGATCAACATTTACAGATATAAAATCACTTTTTCTTCGAATGCCCTGTATACAGTTCACTAGGAGGAAGGGGCACACATACTTGGAATTGCCCCAGATAGCCTTACACGGTTAATCGCTCCAACTGCTAGAAGTGATCCAAGGTATACAGCAGCATGTTATATGCTAACTGAATCTGAACTAATGTTACACCTTTTAAGAGTTACAGTCACCTGTGCAGTTGCTTACACTCTGCACTTTCAGTTAATGTTCATTGTTTAACAAAACTTAGTAAATATTAGTATCTAACTTCATGGCTACTTGTATTGCATTTAAATACATCCACAAATAAATTATACTACAAAGTAACCACAGAAGTTGTTGCAGATCATGATCATTACATAGTATTTGCCATTACATCTCCAGTACCATTCAGCACCTTTTGGCAATGTTCTTACAGCTAGCTGCACAATGCCCTGATGAAAAAACTTTCGGTGTTACATGCAAAAAGGTCCATGAATGCATGCAGGAAGTCTTCCTCATTGTCAAAGAATTTGATTGTTTATGGTGGTCCAGGGAATGGAGCTGGTTAAGCCAGCAAGTATGATGTAAATCTGCAGGGGCTAAATCTGCAATCTGGTGGATGGCACAGTGTCTTCCAACCAAATCATTGAACGGTTTCCCTAGTCATTCTTGCCACGTGAGGTCTTGCAGTACTGCAGAGCTAAAGCAGACCTTTGCGATTAGCTAATGCTGGCTTCCAACAACCAATGTCTGTCACAACCAGTGTGACACCAGACTCACTTTTCGTCACTCGTAAGCATTTGACCACATATGGGGGATGTTGCAATTCCAAGCCAGCAATAGTAAAAATTCTCATCTGATGTCCCTTGTTAGCTGCTAATAATGTATGGAATAACCACTTGTTCAACCAGTACGCCTTTTCTATGTAATTTAAGTGCAGTCAGACTGTTTCTTCGAAAACTTGGAAGAGTTCACAAAGTTTACCATGAACACATCTGACTGCTGTTCTCCTCTATGGCTGCCTCCAGGGCCTCATCATTCAATAAATGAGGCTGCCCATTCTGAGATTCATCATACAGGCTCAGGTTTCCCTATTTAAACTTCTAGAACTAATGGTTGGTGGTGCAACTGGTTACATGCATCTCCAAAAATATCTGACATATTTCACAATTTGATGCGATTATTGACAGGCCTAACTTAATTGTACAACAAACAACTGCGAATGAATTACTCCGATGCTTCAATTTCTCTTCAATGCTGGATCAGGTTACTGCTGTGTATGTGTAACGAGCCCATATTAGTGCAGGTCAATGGTTACACTAACATACCTGGTGGCAATGTTTACACATCTTCTGCTGGCATGCCAGACATTTTACTTTCTCTCCGATTCATTTTATTTTCTGAGATCGCTTTATCAAATGAGACAAAAAAGAGCAAGATCTTTTTTTAATTACCTTGTAACTTAAAGCTATAGGAACAGTTTCGTTAAAAGCTAGAATTCTTCCAATAAAACTATTAATGCACAGCATAAATAATATAGCATTAAAACATGTTCTTTCACAAGAAATTGCATCCAAAGCATTAAATTCAGTAGGATATCAATCGCATTCTGTTATAAATCCACAGAAATATTAGCCTTTAATCGGTATGGTGAAAAAGTTGTGCTTAATGGATATTATTGGGTCCTAATTATTATATTTGCAAAATGTATAAAATTATATTTTGCAAGCATGATTCAAATATATAATCATGCATTTATTCAAATGATTAATAATGAGATAAAATGTGCTTAGTATTTTTCCTAAACTTTATGAAAGAAAAAAGCAATTGTACAAAATGCGAGGCTTAGGTGAATGGACACTTCTATTTAATCTTTTGTGTTCCTGAAAAATTTCTACAATGAAGAATTTCGGTAAACTTGACATTAAAATTAATTAAATACACATAACACAATGAAATACAAAGGAAAATAAAATTACCCAGAGAGACTTAGGAGCTTCACTTTCACCATCAGGTAACTCTAAATGCAGATCTCCTCCACTTGAGTACATTTCTGTCAACTAATACATACATTTTATAAAATATGTTAAGCACATACGTACAAAAGAGATACAAAACACAAATGCCATAATTACTGTAATAACTTTGTATATACAGTATAACATAACAAAAATAAACAAAATGTAGTTCAACCTAAAAATTAGCACATATAAAAGCAATGAATTTTTTCAGATTCTAAGATGGCACCCTTCACAACCATTCTAAAAATAAAACACTTATAAAAGTGAAGGGCAACATGGGATTAATTTTTTTCCCAAATCGTCCAGGACATAGCACATGGTTTTATGCATTTTATTCATTCAAAAATGCTGGATTACAGCCTCTAACTCAGGAGATGTTATGTTATCAAATAATTAAGACATGGATGGCTCAGATGGATTAGATATTAAGTTTGAATTAGATTTTGACATTGAGTAAGATAATGATGGCCAAGAAAAAACAGATTCTGCTACTAGTTTAGGATAAAGTATTGAATAGTATAGCTTCTGATTGGAAAATCAAATTCTGTTCACATAAAAATAACTTACATACTATTCAACACTTTTATATTTTTCTTACAGTCAGGCTCCCCAACCCACCCCCAATAGTGATGCTGAAATTAGGGGCGAAACTTATGTGATATATTGGAACTAAAGAAGTATGGTATGTACATAGATGAATAAACAGTTTACAACATGCATTAATAATACAGCATAAAAGTGAACACATTTAATAAGCAATATACTCACATCTTAATGCATTCTTTTTTTATGCTAATACATAGTTTCTGTTCTAATTCAGAAATTATTCTTTTTAGCATCTGAAGAAAATAAAAAATATGTTTCTTGCATAACACCAGATATTTAAAATATATGTTGCTTTTCAGGCGAATGGAAACTAGAGAACACAACAACACAGAATCAAATTTTAAGATAAATCTTTTCCTTTATTGGTAAATTTCTAAAAGTTATATTTTCAAACGACATGTACTTCAAAATGAAACATTCAAAATTAATGCATAAAATAACTTTATTAAAGAAGATTTATCATAGCAAGAACTACCACATTCTCCAAAATCATAACATTCTCTACTGATGCCAGATACATTAACTCAATCTTTTGAAATGAATAAAATTATGAATGTTGCCAAAATATTCATACAAAAAGTTATGCTTTTATGAATAAATACTATAAACCTCTTCCTTGGAGGTTGGATCTGAAATATCTGAATGTAACGAAAAGTTTTCTGCCAAAAAATGTTCTTAATGAAGCTAGAAAATAAACAACCTGAAAGCAGTAACTTTAGTATGGGCAGTCCGACCCAAATTTGTGATTTTCTGCCAATGTTTAGGTAGTTTTCCAAAGCCTTTGGCACAGAAACTTGGTGGCTATGAGTCCAAAAACAGAGCAACCTCATTTCAGACATCCTAAATAGAATGGAAGATAGCACCAGCAAGATGTAGCTGCAGGTGTAAAAAAAAGGTACAAGTATGAAGAAGCAATGTCAAGGCTATAAGGTGAGCGTGGCAAAAGATCCCAATTGAGTCCGTTCAGAGTCCAGTCGGTGAACACAGACACATGTGGTCTTGCATTATCTTGATGGAGCATTACCTTTTAATGCCGGAATTCAGTTTGACGTTTTCCTTTGATAGCAGTGCCAATACGGACTAGCATCTCACTGAACACCTTACTGTAAAGGGTTTTACCTTTTTCCAGATACTCTTTGTGGATAATACAACAGCAATCCCATCAGATAAGAAACATAATCTTTTTGTTAGTCAAATTGCATTTTGCAACGCTGTCGGGGAGCTCACCAGGCGCAGACCAACCCCCTTTTCGGCCTGTGTTGTTTAAGTATATCTACTTTTCATCATAAAAGATGATTCAGCCCAAAATTTTGTCTCTGCAGTGATAATCAAGCAGATTACTGCAGGCCCAAACACGTGTGTCCTTATCTGCTTCAGCTCATGTGGCACCCAGCGACTGAACTTGTACGTTGAGTTTATGCAATGCATAGTGCAGTTAATGGACATGGCATTTATGTCTAATTCCTTAACAAGCTCTTGAGTGGTTATACACTGATCTTCGTCCACAAGTTCTTGCAGGCGGGCCTTATCAACATCAGTAGGCCAGCCACAGCGCTCTGCTTCTTGAATGTTATAATTTTTGTTTTTGAGCCAAACTTTCACAGTGTCAAATGACACAACTTTAATATCTAAAGCTGTAGACATGTTTTGGTGACATTCTATGGCTGACGTTTCGCAACAGAACTGGAAGTAAATGATAGTTCTAATCTGGTAGCATGATAGTTCCATTTCAAACACTTTGTACTTAATGATGACATTTTTTACAAATTTCACAACAGGGTGTTTTACAGCAAGTCTCTCAAATGCAAAAAATCGTTTGACGAAATATGATTAAATACACCAATGCAAACTGTTTGCGCAGACAATATTTGTGGCGGCGAGAAACTTCAGTTAAAACGACATATTTCAAAACTATTATCAGAATTTACTATTCAGCACTAATTTTCAATTTAAAACACTATTTGCTAAAATCAAGATAATTTTTTTACTTGTATTTATACTCATTTTTATTAACTTAAAGTGTATTAACTTGCTATTCAAATTGGGTTATGAAAATGAACTGAGCGATTACACTTAAAGTAATACAATAGTCCTCAATACAAATTTCAGATATGCAGGATACCAGTAACATGACATGGTTTGTACATATTCCTGCACAGAAAATTGAAATTTTCAGGACTTTCTAAGAACCACCAATTTAAAAGTAAAAAGGCTTATTAAGCAAATGTGAATTGAATTCAATAAGGCAATTGTCTCTGTGCAACCTAGTTCACTCTTGTATTTTTAATTCTAGGAATAAAAAAGCATATGCAGGATGCTTTATTATTAAACATAATCTAACATTTAACATAACTATGAAACCAATTGCAGAATAAAACCAATTCTCTTAAAGTTATGAAGTAATTGATTTTATATGAGAAATATATCAAAAATTATTTAGTTGTTAAAAATATTAATTAAAAAAGAAGCATTAAACTCACAGTTTAAGGAATTTGTATAGTTTAAAGCACCAGATAATTACATATGCAATCCACTACAATTATTACTTTGTGAAGATATTAGAGCAGCTATACAATAAAAACAAAAAATATTTAAGTCGCTTTTCAATTTGAAATTTCTCCAAATATTTTAGCTAATTTTATAAGGTATTTACCCCCACCTTCTTCGCATGCCTTCATGGTGTAACTAAGCATATTCGGGAGATCCAGGTGAGGGCATTCCTCATTTTTCATCTTTCCTGCTTCGAAATAACCTAACGTCTCTACAGTGACACCCGAACTGAATGATGGTTCTTTACCACCAGGATTTGGCGATTGCGTCTCCTAAACACCAGTCACCCTTTAAAAGGGGGCGAATATAAGTATTTCTCCCACTTTCTTAGCATGCCTTCATGGTGTAACTGAGCATAATCGATGCGTATTCAAGATCTCCAGGTTTGAGTCCCAGTGAGGGCACTGCTCATTTTTCATATTTCCTGCTTCAAAATAACCTAATGTCTCTACAATTTATATCCATTTTCTTCTCTTTAACACCTTATTTAGGTTCATTTGATAAATTGCTATTATCTTCAATAATAAACCCTTGAAAAATCATTTTCTTTATGTAATCAATTTCTACTTCAATAAAATTTCTTTTCATCTTTCAATCTGGAGATTTAATCAATCATTCTTGTTTTTTCTAAAAATTGCATTTATTTAGAACTCGCAGAAGTTATTAATCTTATTTCTTTAATAATATTCACAATAACTCTAGATTCCTGTAATGATATATGTTGCCCTGAAAATATTTAGTCTGAAACTTTTAAATTATCAATTTTCAATATCAGTATTAATAGAGCAGTTCACATTTACAGATGTTTGCCTATGTGACAAGATTAAAATCACTTTTTAAATTTTCGCAGCCTGTGCAGTGAAAAGCTTGAAAAGGAAGGAAAGAAAAATACTCCTGAAATTAAAGTAGAAAATTCAAATAACTTTCGCTTGTATTAAAATAACACATGGACTAAGCATTATGGGAGATGGTATGGCAATAATAATCAGCATAAGATTCATAAATCTGCAGGTACAGTTTTTTAGGTTTAAATATACAACCTTCTTCAGCTGTAGAAGTATGAATGATGAAAGAGAAGCCTATGCTCAGGAGATAACAATGACAAAGTCAAGCTACTGATGAAAAAAGAAAGCAACTATAAAATAATTTCCTTAAAAGCTGAGAGTAAAGATGGATTGGAGTTGGGAATGCTAACTAGAACTGAAAGATATTTATGAATGGGAAATCCCTCTAGGAAATCTAATTTGCAAACGGAAGGTGTTTTAGTTGCAGAAAAACGGAAAATGTGATTTTCTGACCAACTTTTTGGTAACAGAGTATTTACACGTTACTGCTTTGTTATCATAAGCTCTATCCTTGTTAGTGGAAAATTTTAAGGGTCACCAACTTCTACTAAAGTAAATTAAATTGCACTGGTATTGTACTTTGTATATACCCCAGGGTTTTTTATTTAGTTAATTTTACAGAGAATTATGCAGAAATTCAACTTTTGGGTTGTTTTTTTCTCCTATCAATGAAATTTGCAATTAGATACTTGAAAAAAATCTTATTCTGGATATGAGCTCTTGGGGTATTTACATGTTTCCTTGCCAATGTAATTTAATTTACTCAAGTTAAACAAAGAGAGCCTTAAAATTTCATGCTAAGGAACATGAGGCGTACATTAGGGAAAAAAGAAATACATAAATCCTCTGTTGGTCAGAAAATTATAGTTTCCATTTTTCTATGAATGTATTAAAAAAAACTCCCATTAGTGAATTAGATTTTCTAAAGGTGTTTCACATGCATAAAAATCTGTCAGTTCCTAGCTAATGACCCCAATTTTAATCCATCTTTACCTTCAGCTTTTAAGGAAATTACTTCATACTTGTTTTCCCTTTTGATGAAGAGATAGCACAAGCAGCTCAACTTCCTTCCTTTCATTGTTATTGCTTCAGCACAGGCTTCTTTGTTATTTTCACTTCTGCAGTTGAAGAAGATGGTTCTAAGCCTTTAAAACTAGTCCTACAAGTTTATGTATATTATGCCTATTCCCTTTGTCTTAACACATTTAAAACATTTTAGCTTAATTGTATTTTCTTGAAACAATAACAGAAATTCATAACAATCATGTAAAACAAGTCTACTTTTCATTAACACCATGATAATACATTTTTCCTTTTCTCAGATTTATAGCCAGTAATTATGGGTTTGATTTCAAATTTTGCAAGAACCTTTCAAGATACAAGTCCAAGAGAAAAACTGCCTCAACAACACACCTACTGCCATACCCACAAACTTTGTAACAGTAAAACATAAGAATTTTGTTTTAATTAGAAAAAAGGCCCAGAGTGAAACTGACACACAGCTGAATATTTTGAAATAATAATATTGAAGAAAACTCTTACCAGAAAAAATATTAAATTATTTCAACTAAATTAATTAAAAAAAATTACAGCAGCTTTCTTTCCCCCTTTTTTTTGGCTTGTTTCTGCATAAAGTGCTTTAGAAACTATGCTTCACAACATTTATTTTAAATCACTTATTTCACGGACTCAACCCATTCATAAGTTGTCAAAATGGATGGTAAACACACTTTGGAATATCACAAAAAATAAAAAACTTATATTCAATTTTAAAACATTATTATCAGTTTAATGATAATTTAACAAGTGATTATGACGTTCGTGAAAAAGTCATTATAAAATTCAAAAACTTCCAAATAAAAAATTATGCAGTAAAATAGATGTCAAAATCATTAAAATGTTTTTAAGTCATTGAATTTACTGACGCTCACCAAAAGAGTTCATGCTCCAAAAAAGGAAAAAGCATGATTTCCTCATGTAATAAAGAGGAATGAATGCAATCAACAACCTGCATATCTGCCAAAAGGACATGAATTAAATAAAAATTTGGCAATAAAACATCCAGCTGAGATATTTTGGGGGCTTTTATACTGAAAAATTATTTAAAAAAATATATGATTGTAAAATCAGAACAATTTTTACAAAAATTATGAAATATTCATAAAAGTTGGCAGATATGTTCTGTTTCTAGTGACCCTGAAGCTTGAAAAGTTAAAACTGACTGTGCAAATCAGTGGCCCTTCCCAGATTTATTTTATTCTAATGCTGGCAAATAGTTTCAGAAAATATCCCCCTTTTTTAAATGCCCTATTCCTAATTTTTGTCCATACTTGAGGCATTTTTCAGTTCACTGATAATAATGGGGAAGCATGATTTTCATAAAGTTTATGAAACCTTTATCAAAATCATGCTTTGACCTTCTCGGAAGTCAGAGGTTTATCACACTTTATTCAAAATCATGTTGAAGTATAGCTATAAGGTCAATATCTAAGTCTAACATACTCTTTACCTCTTTCTTCTTTTCCTTCCTAATGCAAACACACAGCATTCTTTTTAATAACACTTGTCTTGAAAGGTTCGAAAAACAACTAACTCTGCACTGCAAGAATTTAATCCAGAGATGCCGAACATTCCTTGTTACTTACGAATCTTAATCTGCGATGCTATGTTATGGGATGTATGAATTCCATCTTTCCAAATACTTATTCACTCTCAGAATAGCAGTCATACAAAGCAGACAATAATATCAAATATTCAAAATTAAGGACGTTTACGAATTAAAATTCATTTACGGAAAACCTCCGGACTTCATGGGCCATGTGATATTGAAAATCACTGTGATTTAAAAAGAATTTTTTTTTAAGACACTCCAAGTGTGAAATGTATTACTGGGAATATTTTAAGTACAGTAAATTTCATCAACATAAAATTTGACAAAGAAGGGAAAAATATGAGTAAATTTAAACATCTCCACTCTATGAACATATACCAATTCATATATTAAAACATATGCTGATACCTGCAATGTAGAACTATGAGGATTATGCATATAAATTATAGGAGAATAGCTGCTATTCAATGGCATTCTGACACCAACAAACGGCCTTAATCTGTATGGATTGGAAATTCCAACAGCTAAAACCTTAAAAGAAATTAAAAGTATGCATTACATTTAAATAAATATATGTTCAAAATTTTAATACATAAAGTTAACATCATTGCCTAAAATCGATAGATATAGCTATATATTATGAATAAAAAAAAAATTTAAAACAACGAAGAAAATAATTTGAAAAATGAATCATTACATTTTTATAAATTTCTTTTAAAATTAATACTTCTTTTCATTATATAGGGTTAACATATCAACTGCAACTACAAAAGCGATAGTTACAGTCAATGTGTTAACAACCTTGAGAGCATTCTGATTTACAGCATTTATTAATACATCAGTTTTACATATTTATAAACACATGTGTGAGATGATGCGATTTACTCAACCTCAAATCAAATTAAAAAAATACAGTGAAAATTTAGTGCACACACTTAAATCCAGCTTAAAGACTGTTCATAAACGAAAATGTTCAAAACCTGAAACAATTTTCCCCACAGAAATTAATGTAAAATAGATTAATTTGTTTATAGACCACAGATGATTGCTCATTTAAACTTTACAACAGTGGTTTGTGCACAAGTTCACAACCCAACCCCCCCAAATTATTAAATATAAAAAGGTAAATACAATATTAACTGACCACTTGTTCAGGCAAAATGCTCATGCAACCCAGGGCCAACAGTCTACAGAGCAGATATCAGGGCACTGCCCGCCATGGCTTTCTAAGGGCTGCTTTGGCCGCGGAGTTTAGATTAGTTTAAACACAAGATTACACAGACAAAATAGATTAAAGCAAAATTTAATAGTACCTGGACACAGAAGGGTGTATGAAGAAGAAAGCATAAATGGAAAATGATGAGGATGATGTTATTGTTTGGATGCAAAATTTTCTTCCATAAAAACATCAGATATGCAGCTTCCTTCACCTTATCTTTGTCTCTAAGAACACAAGCTTCATGTCTGAGCAAAACTTAAACCTTTCCAACCATATTCATCTAATACAGCTGGGTGATTGGAAAATGTGTTTAATAGTTAGTAGTCTATGCTTGCATGAGTAATGTGATTCATTTCAGTTTTTGATTACATGGTTAAGTACAACAATTTCAGTGATAAGTTTGAAAATTTTAATCTTTTCCATTACTTTTTCCCGATGAAAAATATGAGAAATGCTCTCGAAGAGAATACTAAGAAAGCTTTAGATAAAGCAAAAATTAAATGCAAAACATTAAGAAGATTAACAACACAAATAATTAATAGAATACCTGAATTACTGGAACAAGATATTGTAGACATAAAACATTAGGAAAATGTAAGATGAATCTACAAGATAAAGCAGAATACAGAGGCTGCACATTCTTTAACAAATTTGTAATTACAAAAATATTTTACTTAAAATAGTCATGCTTTAAATGTTCTGTTTGATAACTCTTATTCTTCACTACCTTTATACACCATAATTTTCAAGATAATAAAGCCTTTTGCAGTATTGGAAGAGGTATTTTATCCCATTGCTTTTGATCAGCAAGTTTAAAGAAGTTGTAGATCGACGTTTGGACAACCTTTTTTTTAAAGTCCGAAAGCGCAAAAATACATTGGTGACAGATGAAGATATTTAGTAGGGATATGACTGATGGCTGTGGGCCTTAATACAGGAGTAATGAAATTCCCTGACTTTTCCAGGTTTTCCAGGTATGTTTCAAGAAAATTCCAGTCTATCCGCGTAATGTATGTTGGCTGTGCTAAGAGGTAAATTAATTATGGTATTACTTCTACTGTGTAGCAAATTCACTTAATTATTCAATAAATCCCAGAGGACATTTATTCTTAATTATTCTTGGTACACTTTATTTGATAACTTTGTTTACTTTTCCACTTAAGAAACTTAATAAAATTTAAGATATATACATTGGATAACAATTGTACATTTTATTTAATTATTACTCATGATCATCACCAGCTCAACATGAGGCTAATCTGGTTCTTATAAATCACAATGCAATGCTAAAAGTTAGGTTAGATTTTAGGTAAATTTAATTTGTGTGAGGTGTCTTCTTAAAAGGCACCTTAACACTTGAAAACACAAATATAATTATAATAGGAGTTGTTTTCTCCACTGAAGATTGAGATTAGAATCTGCCCAATCCGGAATAAAATAAAGCTTTTTTTGCAGACATTCTGCAGCTAAATGAAAGAAAGAAATCTATTTAATGATATTTTTTTACTAAGGTATTTTATATTTATTTCGCAGCATACACAAGGAAAAAATATGTGCATTAAATTTCGTGATGTCATCATACTGCTAGAATCAATTTCAGGATTATGCTAGAGAAAATTTCCTGAAATTTGGAAATATTATTTACTAATGATAAATAAATTTAGAGGGAAGAAGCAACATTAAATGATATGAATAACATAAAAATAAAGATAGTTACTTAAAAATTGAATTAGAATAATCAACGATATTTTAGCGAATATAGTTATATTACATGGTTAGCCTAGATGACTGATTACTATTTTTTTATTTTACTGCAAAATGACAAGGTATTTATTAAAAAGAAAAGAAAAGAAAAGAAATGAAAAAGATTTTTTGGTAAAATCCTAGTATAAGGTACGGCCTTCGCACGATTTTGAAAATTGTCGCCAAGAACAAAATGACCCATTTACTGCTCATCATCATGTCGCCAAATCCCGCTGTACCATACTTGGAGATTATTCTAACCAAAGAACGTCTATGTAAAGAAGAAAAGGTTCCATACACGTAAATGCTATTGCATGGCTAAAAAGCGGAGGGAAAATTTGCCAAGGGATTTGGCGACGGAACCTGGCGGCCAGAATTTCCCTCTATGCGATGTGTACAGGAAATTGAGAAACACGTGTTAAGAAGAAACATTCTTTGCAGGGGCGTAGCTAGAGGGGGGCATCTGTCCCCGGGCGCAGAATCCGAGGGGCGCCAATCTGATGTTACGATATTTTAGAATTAAATCTTTTCCATCCTTGGCAAGCAGTAGGGGGCGCGAAATCTTCAGCTGTCCCTGGGTGCTGAAAACCCTAGCTACGACTCTGGTTCTTTGACAAAAAAGAAAACTACGAAAATCCGTCTTTAAATTATTGCGAAAAATCCAAAACTTGGATTTTTCGCAATAATTTTAAAGACGGATTTTCGTAGTTCCCCCCCTCAAAATAACTAATCCATGAATTAATTTACTTGCGCCAAAAAATATTTTCTTTTCCTTTAGAGTTTAAAAAATTTTTAAACGATATTCATTTTATGAACTCTTGATAACGTGAACCTTCAAACTTCGAACACCGGTTTCGAGCTTTGGCGACAGATATATCGCGCATGCACAGCTGTTTCTCTCTATGATGGAACGGAGCCACGTCTGTTGCAGAGAGGTTTTTCTTCTTTACAATAAATATTTTTTTTAGTCTAACCTTCATGGTACCGTATACTAGGATTAAACCCATTTTATTTTATACGAGAACAGGTACTTTCTTTAGTTCATGCACTGCACATGCGATTCTCGAGGTTACTGGAAACCAAAAGTTGCGGGAAACTTGCTTTGCCTTTCTAAAAGATAATCAAATTGGAGCTGCGAAAATTGGCTCTATGCCAGCTGCCCGAATGACACTCACGTGATACACAATTCGCCAAAAAAGTGATCTCTTCCGACGTCGGCGCAAAACTTGCCTTTTTTGGCAGGACCGCTGTATGAAATTCCCTGACATTTCTGGATTTTGACTAAAAACTTAAATTCCCGACTTTTCCCTGAATTTTTTGGTCAATTTCCGAATTCCCTGACTTTTTCCGGTTTTCCAGGTAGCGTGGCAACCCTGTTAATACTCACTTCTTGTTTCATTTTTCCGCAGGAAATAAATAGTAGATTTGCTTTGTCTTGATGCAATTCTCCTGATCACTTGATCCCACTGTGTTTAAAGCAAGGGTGCTTCATCTTTGAAAATTCAGTATAAAACATATTTTTGATAATTCATGAAGTTGATCTTAACATTTTGCTTTGCTCTCTTTTTTTTAAATTTGGCATTATATGAAAAACCAGCAACAATCATAAATCCCTTTAAAAAAAATTTTCTTCAGATTCCTTGAACCATGTTTTAAGATTTTTTCTCCCTCCTTGATGATAATAATTGGATTTCTTTTTATTGTAGTCATTTAAGTACACCCAAGATTCGTCTATTCTAACATTTTCCCATTTTCGTCCGGATAAATGTTTCTTATAAAGAATTCTGCACTGCATTCTGCGTTTGGCAAAAAGTCGTAGAGAAATACAATGAACATTTTGTTTTTTCACGTTTTTAAGATTCAAATCAGCATTAATCACTTTATTTACAGTTAACACGAGCATTTTAATGATTTTGTAATGGCGACATTTTCTTTTTGACATTTTTTGACATGGTGGGTTTTCTTTTAACATTAAAAGTTCTAACTTTTGAAACATTTGAAATATACCTTTCCCCCCCCCCTCGTAACAATTTTTCCACTTGAAACTAAAGTTTGGTGTTCTTTTCCTCTGTTGTCGATAACACTACCAATCATAGTTTTAGATATCGAAAAACCATGGCTTTCACGCTTTTTAATAACTAGATACAAATAATTTTCTTCAGAAAGAATACAAACGTAGCCTTCCATCCATTGCTTCTTTAAAAGTGACATTTTGCATGAAAACTGAACTGTCAAGTAGCAGACAATAATTTATACTTTCAAAAATATATTTGTGGTTAAAAAATATTCCAAGCAGATGATATTCTTTACAGAAAGGCAAAATTGTCTAAAAAACGTGCAAACAGCCTCTGCAGATGTTTAAGTTCACACATGTGCTGACCCAGTGTTAAAGAACAGACCCAACATAGACTATGCATGACATAAAAAGTGATTAAAATTAATTGTCCAGGGATATAGCCATGTATGCTGGAGGATATTATATCAGGGAACTGGTTCTCCAGGTTGGGGTTTTGGACATGATGCTAACAACCTCACCCAATAAAAATCCTACCATTATGAAATCGGAAGG